TGAGAACAGTGAGGAATCATCCCAGAACTACACGTGAGGATCTTGTCAATGATCTCCAGGCAGCTGGGACCACAGTCCCCAAGAAAACAATTGGTAACACACTACGCAGACAAGGATTGAAATCCTGCAGTGCCTGCAAGGTCCCTCTGCTCAAGAAAGCACATATTGAGACCCGTCTGAAGTTTGCCACTGAACATCTGAATGATGCAGAGGAGGACTGGTTGAAAGTGTTGTGGTCAGATGAGACCAAAATTGAGCTCTTTGGCATCAACTCAACTTGTCGTGTTTAGAGGAGGAATGCTGCCTATGACCCCAAGAACACCATCCCAACTGTCAAACATGGTGGTGGAAACATTCTGCTTTGGGGGTGTTTTTCTGCTAAGGGGACAGGACAACTGCACCGCATCAAAGGGATGATGGACGGGGCAATGTACCATCAAATCTTGGGTGAGAACCTTCTTCCCTCAGCCAGGGCATTGAAAATGGGACATGGATGGGTGTTCCAGCATGACAGTGACCCAAAACACACAGTCAAGGCAACAAAGGAGTGGCTCAAGAAGAAGCACATTAAGGTCCTGGAGTGGCCTAGCCAGTCTCCAGACCTTAATCCGATTGAAAATCTGTGGAGGGAGCTGAAAATTTGAGTTGCCAAACGTCAGCCACCAAACCTTAATGACTTGGAAAGGATCTGCCAAGAGGAGTGGGCCAAAATCCCTCCTGAGATGCGTGCAAACCTGGTGGCCAACGACAGGAAACACCTGACCTCTGTGATTGATTTGCCACCAAGTACTAAGTCATGTTTTGTGAAGGAGATCAAATACTTATTTCCCTCATGAACATGCAAATCAGTGCATAATTTGTTAGACATGCATTTCTTTAGAATTTTTTGTTGCTAGTCTGTCTCTGTGTTACAGTACACCTACCATTCGATTTTTAGACTGATCATTTCTTTGTGAGTGGGCATTCAAAATCAGCAGGGGATCAAATACTTATTTCCTTCACTGTACATCTCAGATTAGTAATGCACCTGGCAATATTTCCCTGTCATTGCGAGACTTTGGCCTGTAGACTTGACTTGCAGGAAACTGTATACAAATCAGATCATAATGTATTTTGCTAGCAATGCATGCCCATCTAAAAAAAAAAAGAACCATTACTACTCCTCTAGCAGCCTGAAATTGACAAGCTAAGGACAGCAGGAGTCTGGTTGCTGTACAATACAAATGTATCTCATACTAGTAATACTTAGGTTTCATTTTGACTTACATTCTTGTCCAACGCTGTGTTAGAATGGAAAATGCAGCGTTTGACAAGAATAGTCTGTTTGACTTGTTTTGTCTACAGTTCAATTGCACTTCAACAGGGCATGCTGCATCAAAAGAAAGGGGCAGAGCAGCACAATGCAGGTCAAATGCATCCCTTGAAATGCACCGCCACATGTAATGCTAGAGGAGCGGTAATGGTTCTCAAAGATTTGAATGGGCAATGGAATTTTGTTGAGTTGCAGTTAACATGTGTTGCAAGGCCTGGTTATGGAGTGCTTTTTTTTTTTAGGCGATTTTTACACTACTGTGGTTTCTGGAGGAGAATACTAGTTTGGGGGACACCTGAATTGCATATAAAATGCATACAGATGTAAATCTGTGAGGCACAAAATCGTACTGCATCCCACGAAAGTAACACAGGACCCTTCCCCAAAGTCGCACTACCCACTGTATAGCCCTACATGAATACTGATGTTCCCATTGCCGTTCTATATACATATATATGTCATTCTTTATACCAATTTGGCTATTCCCCACTGGAGTGCACTGTTCTTCTGTATCACAGTAGTTTTTACCCTATGTTCCTCCCTCCCCCCCTCCCTTTTTCACTCCCATTTGTCAGGGGGGTAGATGGTGGGCACACCACCTCTTTGCTGGAGGCACTCCATGGGTATCTGCGGCTGGAGTGCATCCCATAGCTGCTCTTCCAGTCCGGTTGTGTCAATGCGCACTCCAGCGGGGGATTGGAGGGCCGGGACGACGCTCGCAGTGCCGCCTCACGCATGCGCGGGGGCCCGTCGGACATGCGTTTTAAAGATGACTCCGACGAGCCGGTGTAGTGGCAAGATGAGTTCTCCCATGAAGATGTGTGTCCCTGACACATCTGCACATGTCACAGTTTCAGTCACGATCAATCGATTACTAAACTGCTGCATCCGACCTTCTTGAACTAACCCGTTCGTGCCAATTTCTTAACTAATTAATTCATAATTATAATAATTTGTGAACTGTGGCAGTTCTGTGCTATGGATGGTGATCGTTGATCGTCTACTGCTCCCGAAAACCGTGACATGCGCAGATGCGCCAAGGACACACATCTTCATGGGGAAACTGATCTTGCAGCTACACTGGCTTTCCTACTGCGCATGCGCCTTCACTACCACGCACCCATCGGCATGCGTTTCACCTACATTTGCTAGCAGAAGCCATATTTTGTAATGAATGCAGTAGAACTCCCTCTGCTGCTGGCCTGAAAACATTACCCAAGATCAATCAATCCTTCCATTTAAAGCCAAAAAGACAATGACATGCTGAATTACTTTAGACAGCCCTAAGTAAGCACATTCTGGGTGCTTGATGGAATGTAGGTATTTTTAATTTTATTAACATTAATATCCACTTTCCATTAAGAGATATACCTCTAAAAAGAGTTAAAAGTCAGGAGCTTTGTAGCAAATATCAACCCTGACTATTATTAGTTTTGAATCAATTCTATCCATAATCACGTCTGCTTATGTATTTATCATGCCATCCTTGGTGCACGTATCAATACTAATATGACGTACTATCTATATACATACTATACACATTTTATATGCTATTGTACATTTTTGCAATTATTAATGATCCTAATGTTTGTTTTTATATCTAAGGATATTTTAAATTATTCACTTCAACTACTTGTATTGTTAGTATGTTTTGATGACACCTTTGCCCCTCCTCCCAGCCGGAGACTGCCCAGCCCAGGTGGGATGGTTCAGTTCCAGTCCCAGGGTATATATGGTAGAGAGTACTCATTTAGTTAGCACTGATGAAGGGACCCCCTTTGAAACGCGTCAGCCGTACTTTGAGAGCCTACCCCTGCGATGTGACTCGCACTGGCTCTACACTCCTACAGTTCCTTTGAGGACTTAAATGCTTGATTTACTTCATAGTTTGTATTATTCTCAATTTAATAAAATCACGTTACTGAGGTAATGCATAAGGTTGGTGCGCTCTCTGTTTGTTTCACTTTGTAACATGTTGCGTTCAGACTGGAACCCACTCCCCCCCCACTTTGACAGCTAGCGGGGGGATCTTCTCCCCCTTGCTGTCAAATTTTTTAAAACGAGCCTGTGCGAGGCTCCGCCCACACAGCCGCGTCGTTCATTCGCAGTCCTCTGTGAATAAGACACTACAAGTCCCGACAGCCTGAGCGGCTGTCTGTTTGTAGTCCTCAATGAATTACCAGCATGAGGCGCCATGGTAGTTCATTCATTCTTCCTGTCAGAGTATCTGCTTGTTTGTACATCCCTGTATGGCAAACGGATATTCTGACAGGTCTTCACGGGACCTGCATGGCATCAGCAATCTACTGATCGCTGGTGCAATGCTTTCCAGGCTTTTGCAGACAAAAATAATACATTTTTTTTACCTGCAAAAAAATGTGCATTTATTATTTTTTTCTAAAAGGTGAACTTATCCTTTAAAGAAGGGAAAAAAAAACAACAACTTTCCATCCAGATCAATGGGTCAAAAAAAACCAAATGCTGCCACCACATTGAAGGATTGGTAAACTGCAATATGTTAACATTTTTTGGTTTCAATGCTGCTCTAAGATGTTGGTGTAATTTACTGAAAACAGTGGTCCCAATCAAATCACTGCAGTACCTACAGTCACTGGGTCCCATAGACACAAAAACTGGATCTTATAGTTAGAAACCACTTTTTATAGGTTTGCTAGACATTGCATGCATGTTGCAGAATTGTATTTAAAAGTAAAATTATTCTTTAAAGGATATCTAAACCCAAGAATCATGTTTTGCAACATACCGGTCCTAAGACGTGGTGGCTCCATTAGTGTTCATTTTTCAAGTTAGGGACATTTTCAGCAAGTACAGAAAATGCATGTAAATTATGCCAGAGATGCAGAAATGTATTTACCATAGGCAAATATAGGCTGATCATTTTGCAAGGGAATTTTCCCCCGAGTGAATGCGTTAAAAAACTTAATTTGCAAAATGATATCCAATTACATGCAAAAAAAACCCCAAACAGTATTTTTGCTTGCACATGATTGGATGACAGGAGTCAGCAAAGTTCTGGGGAAAATTCTCTTGCAATATGAACAGTCTATTTGCCTTTAGTAAATCAACCTCCGTGTCCATGTCACTTCTCCGAATTAAACTGAAATCACAAGTGTTACCTTCCTTCTAAGCTATCTTTTGTAAACTACACTCCCATGTAATGGAGATGGAGAAGTAGAAGTGTTTATAGTCCAAAACAGCAGAAAAGCCTAGTATTACACCATGGCCCTCCCCACAGAAGCAGTGAAGTGACCATAGCCACCCTGGAACATAAAGTGTGTTATTTGCAGGACCACCTGCAGGGAGAAAAAAAAAAAAAAAAAAGGCCCAGTTACAGAAAATAAATTGCAGCCATCACATCTAAGGACTGTCAATCTACAATATTTCAAAAACTGTTTTGTGGATTTAGATACCCTTAAGTTTTCAACTATACATAGCTTTAAACCTCCCAACACATTTTCACTTTTTTTTTTTTGAGCTGCAAAAAAAGAGACAGTGAAGCTTTTAGAAAATGTAAATTTTAATTTAATTTCCTAAAAATGAACACGAGTTATTTTTTTTTAATTAAAGAAAAGAGAAGTACTTTGTGTATTTATTATTAGCACACAGCAAATTAAGTACAGATTTTATCTGCAGATGATGAAATTGCCTCAGCAGTAATGAAGGCTTTTCATTCTTCCCACACATCTCCATATTTGTTCTTTTTTGCTGAAACACAGAAAATATCATTGATAAAACATTGATGAGGAAAATTATCTATCAACGCTCCTATCCAAACCCTGATCACTAAACCCCACCTGGTTCACAGAAAAGTGCTAAAAACATTTAGTCACCAGTCACAGTACTGTAATTTAAAATTGCGCGAATTGTGTGCAATTTCTGCGTGAGTTCTGAAGACTTTATTGTACTTGTGAAGATTTTCAAGGATTTTGTGCAGTTTGAAGTGCGATTTCCATTATATTATACGTATGTGAAATCGCAACAAAAAACTGCAGAAAAATTAATGCAAGAACTTCTTTAGAAATCACACTGCAGTAAATTGCAAATTTTAAGACACTGACATTCACATCTATTAGATGTGATATAAGGTGCAATTTTAAAATTCCCAAATCGCACCTGAAATCGCACTGGATGACCAGACACTAAGTCACCAGTCACACCACTGCGATTTAAAAATCGCATGATTTTTGTGCAATTTCAGCACGATTTCTGAAGACTATATTGCTACTTGTGAAGATTTTCAACGATTTCTTGAAACTTGCATTGCTATTTCCATTATATTGTACGTATGTGAAATCGCAACAAAACTACAAAAAAAAAGTCATGCAAGAACTACTTTAGAAATCACGCTGCAGCAAATCGCACACGTTAAGACAACAACATTCACATTCATTATGTGCGATTTCAATTCGCAAATTGCACCTGAAATTGTTCCGGTGTGGCCGGGCACCTAGTCCTTATGGACCACAGACATACCAATCCATTCACCCATGTCAGATGCACAGCTGTTCCATCAATGACAGTGTGTTCAAATCAATGACTAACAGGCAGCTGCACAGATATCAAAGCCTATACCGGAATGTACAGTGGGGAAAATAATGTTTTACCCTCTTACAAAGAAATGAAGAGTCTATAATTTTTTTTCATAAGTGTATTTTAAATGATAGAGACAGAATATCAACCAAAGATCCAGAAAAAACACATGATACAAATGTTATAAATTGAGTTGCAGTTCAGTGAGTAAAATAAGTATTTTATTCCCAAACAAAAACACAACTTGGTGGGAAAATCCTTGCTGGCAAGCAGAGGTAAGAGCGATCTTGATTGGTTACCAGTTTTGCACACCTCTCAGGAGGGATTTTGGTCCACTCTTCTTTTACAGATATTCTCTAAATCCTTAAGATTTCTTGGCTGTCACTTGGCAACTTGAAGTGTCAGCTCCCTCCATAAATTTCTTATAGGATCAAGTTCTGGAGACTAGCTAGGCCACTCCATAACCTTAATGTGCTTCTTCTTGAGATACTCCTTTGTTGCCTTGGCAGTATGTTTTGGGTCATTGTCATGCTGGAAGACCCATGCACAACCCATTTTCAGTGTTCTGGCTGAGGGAAAAGGGTTCTCTTCCAAGATTTTACAATACATGACCCCGTCCATTGGCCCCTCAATGCAGCAAAGTTGGCCTGTACCTTTAGAAGAGAAACAGCCCCAAAGCATAATGTTTCCACCTCTCTGCTTGACTGTAGGAATGGTGTTCTTGGGGTCATAGTCAGCATTATTCCTTCTCCAAACACAGCAAGGTAATTCCAAAAGAGCTCAGCATTTTCTCCCAAAGCTTCTCTGAATCATTTAGATGTTCGTTGACAAACTTCAGATGGGCCTGTACATGTGCCTTCTTGAGGAGGGGGACACTTGCAGGCGCTGCAGGATTTCAATCCATGGTGGCGTATGGTGCTACCAACAGTTTGTATGGGGACTGTAGTCCTAACTGCCTTGAGATCATTCACAAGCTCCTCCCATGTAGTTCTGAGCTAATCCATCACTTTTCTCATGATCATCCTTATCCCATGAGGCATAATCTTGCATGGAGCTCCAGACCGAGGGAGATTGATGGTTATTTTGTATTTCTTCCATTTGCGAATAATCACTCCAACAGTTGTCTCCTTCTCACCAAGCTTCTTCCTGATGGTCTTGCAGCCCATTCCAGCCTAGTGCAGGTCTACAATCTTGTCCCTGACGGCCTTTGACAGCTCTTTGGTCTTGCCCATGATGGTGAAGTTTGAATGAAAGAAGGAGATTCTGTGGACAGGTGTCTTTTATACACAAAACGAGTGTACCACATGAGTACATAGCCAGTCTATGGAAGCCAGAAATATTGTTGGTTGGTAGGGGATCAAATACTTATTTTACTCACTGAACTGCATCTTAATTTATAACATTTGTATTGTGTTTTTTTTCTAGATTTTTGGTTGATATTCTGTCTCTTATCATTTAAAATACACCTATGATGATAATTATAGACCCTTCATTTCTTTGTAAGCAGATAAACGTATAAAATCTGCAAGGGATCAATAATTATTTTTGCCACTGTACTTCCACGCCAGTCCGATGCATGGGTCAGGACTCAGTCTCTCTCTGTCTTGATCTGTGCATTGGACACAAAGGGATGTACATACCAAGATCCATGCAGCTGGTCGCTTATTATTGATTTGAAGAGGTGGGTCAACACCGAACACCTATACATCCAACGTAGGTAAAGACGGCCATTCGTACAGGTGTACAGATCAGTACTCACATGTGAATGAGACCTTACAGGTATAACAGAACATCTACAGTCCCTGACATCTGAACAGAGATCCTTTGCCAAGCACAGGTGAGTTTTTCTGTCCCACAATCATACAAAATGGCAATGTGGTTACCCTACTCTTCAGTCTCAAATCTTAATATGCTGTAATGAATATATTCTTTACATAGTGAATGTGCATATTCTATTTAACTATCAAATTATGAGGAATCTACAGTGTATGGTTAAGTAGCTATATTCCAAGATGTAACAATTATCTAAAAGCATTTTTGTTGTGACAATAACATTTTCATACTGCTTCCCATTTCTCTATGACCATATTTCTTACACAGAGCTGTGACTCTTCCCTCTATTAGACTTGATGATACAGAATCGCTGAAACCATTTCCGAAATACAAAAATAGGCTCCAGAGAAAATTTCCTGAGCCAACATTGAGAAGCAAAGTAATGTACGACGACTATGTAGCACTACCAAGCATAAAATGCTCCCAGCGTATGTTTTATGTTGGCCACTCCTATTAATGTATATACAGTATGTATAAATGATAGACCTTAGCTGATCACAGCCTTATAGACTCCTTCAAAATGACAACCATCTGAATACCCATGGCCAAATGATCACCCTTAGCCGCCTTCTGCACTGAAGAGCCACTATGCACACCCTACTCCTAGGACAAAGTGTCACACATCTCTGGGACATTTTGGGTTTAATGGGCAGCACAGTAGCTTAGTGGGGAACACTTCAGCCTTGCAGCACTGGGGTCTTCAGTTCAAATCCTGGCCAGGAGTCTATCTGCATGGAGTTTGCATGTTTCCCTGTGCTTTGGTAGGTTTCCTCCCACACTCCATAGACATGCTGATAGATTAACTGGCTCCACAAAGCACAGCCAGTTGGATGATACCAATTACTTTATTACAATCATAGGCTGTAGCTTAGCTTCCACCCCTGCCCTCTCCTTCTCATAGTCTACTGCACAGGGGATTGCAAGCGGCTGATACCAAGTCAAATTCAGATATGTAAACTGGTTGCAAAAAAAACAAACAAAAAAACACTTGGATAAAAAAAAAAAAAAAAAAAATCACTGAATGATGTTTTGGGGTGCCCTTCACAATGAATTTCACTGTAATATACTGTTACCACATGCATTTTAGACATGCTTCTACCACATGCCACAACACACAAGTGGGAATGGGCTCTGACGATTTTGCACAATAGAGACATGGACGCTCTACGTGACAGCCATCTTGTTAGGCCTGAGCCATTGTGTCTCTTTTCTTCCCTCCTCCCTCTTGAAATGGAATTTGGTGGCTGTAAGTTGTAACGGACTTCAAAAGGGCCTCTTATCTTAAATAAAACACAGATAGATGAAGCTCCAGCCTAAACCGCTAATTAGTATGGTGCAGGAGTTCTGCTTTGAAAACCACTTTCCTCTGCCCGATTGTAAAACAATAACTCTAGAATGCAGAGCATGCCATAAAACGTCCATTCCACATGTAACCATTTCACATACAATTCATAAAGTTCAGCAGGAACTGAGCACATTAATATTAGGTATATATTTGGATACGTCATTTTAATGCGAGTCAAACAAGGCCATGCATGACTATATTCGCACACAGGAGAGAGAAGAAAGCAGTCTCGACCCTCCTGGGTGACAAGGGTGCGCTGTGTTTGGTATCCCTGGATTTGAAATATAATTCTGAATATTAATCTGCCAGTTGCTAGGATACCACCTGCACATACTGGAAGTTATTAATATTAATATGAAACTGCAGTTGGGACTTGGTCATTAACTTGAGCGCAGCCTAGCACCCATCCCCAAACTGGATGATTGGTCATTTGTTCTCAGGCAACATCGCTTTAATATCATAGAAAAAGACTGAAAGGCCTGGAGAAGAGAGCTCAGCGTTTAACATCAATCAGGAAACATCTAATGGACTTGAGAGCGAAGGCAACCTTTTTGCTCGGACAATTGGACTCTGCTTAAACCAAGGACTTTGCAAGTATTTTGCCTTCTTAACTCCTCTCTTTTATTTCTCTGTTTTATTGCTCTCTTTATATCTTTGTAACATATTTTTCTAAATATTTTAATTGCACCATTTTTCCCTTTTTTAGTAATGAACCCTATTTTAAAAAAAAGTGTTGAAATTGTCTCTAAAGCTTTTAATGCAAACTAAAGAATCCCTGTCTCGAGTGCTACTGTATGTAATAATCCTCTGAACATACTTGTCTGTGGTGACAGTGTGTGTTACAGACACTTATGCTAATATCATAGTGTTATAGCTAGGATTTGTGAGTTTCCTCCTCTGTAAAAAGGTGGCTGTGGCAGTGTAAAGGGTTAATTGCATAATTAATCTAATCCAGTGACAATCACTCTCAGGCTGCTGGCACATAGAGTGTGGTCCCACGAGCTGCAAAATCTTTGTGCAGGGCGCAGCTGAGAGTGACATTGTTGCGCAAATGACAGTGCGGTGCGATATCGGCTGGTCCTTCGGTCACAAGTTGGTGAGAAGGGCAGAGGTTGGATTCCGCATTTCGTCACAGGCTGATAATGATTTGTTTAATGAATAATTAGCTGCATTCATGTGTCTGTTGTATCTGCCGGGAATTCTGCTTTAACTGTAGATCTTCATGGGAACACATTGATACATGGGTTTCCAGACATTTTTCACAGCACAATAGGAGATAGCCCATAGGAGGCAAGCATTAATCAGCTTTCATTGATCTGAATTAAATGCCTGAACACTAACTGGTTGGGTAGGAGAAAAGCAGGTTTTGTACACAGTGCTAACACAAGCCATAATGAGTTCTGAAAATTATTTTGCTAGGATAGAATAATAAATAGAAAACCTTCAATTGTCGGTGTTCTGCGCTGTATTGGCCTCTCTGGAGTTTGTGGTTTTAGTACATCATAGACACCCCTGTTTTTGTTCCTCAGCTCCTCGTAAGTCACAGATGGTGGTTTACCTTGTTTCTCCTCATAAAATTCAGGCCCTGCATACAATATTAAAACATGGAACATTCACTATAAAAAGGATTTCTACAGCATGTTTGCAGTACCATTTTCAGTAGTCTTACATAGGCATTGTATCCAAGCTATAGAGGACATTAAATATTCCAAAGGCTTATATATTTTAAGCCTAATATAACACTGTTCCCACACATGGTGGATCAGCAGAAGAGTACAGAAATTTTAGGTAGAAGAAGTCTCATTACCTTCACCTCCAATGAAAAAAGCCTTTCAAAATGAAGACCCAGGTCACTATCTCATATATACCAGCCAATTATTTCAGGATCGCAAATAACAATATTACCAGCAATGTTCTACTTTGAGAAACCGGTTTGTTTTCCCAGGAAGGACTATATGGAAGACATTTGATTAGGGCTGTGATTGTTTAGTATGCTTTATCCTGATTTTATGTTTTTATATTTTGAATGACTCCTATACCAGGACCTGTGTAGAAGTGATAAAATAAAATGGTACATGATCCTCCACAATCTTGGAAAGCTTTTTAATGTGTTAATGCTTTAAAATTGCCCACTAGAACGGAACCACTGCTTTAAATGAACTATATAGTGTATCGAAAGATACAGTAGGGATCTACCAATCTGATAGCAGGCATTTTAAACAAACCTTAGCATCATTTAGGAGGAAATAGTGTGGGGAAGGAGCAGACTAGCACCACCATAGCTGTAATACTCCAAATTGGCATTGTTACTAAACAATTTGAGTACACTGCTTCTGGTTAATTACTTTTTTCCCTCTCATTAACTAAATTTTAATGAATATGCTTAACAAAAATGTTCATGTACTCCTGACACCATACTGTAACTTGCAAATGGCTCTTTTGAAATACCTAAATTTATTAAAGTGTTACTAAACCCAAAATCAGTCTGTATATGCCGCCTGGCAGTACTAGGGTCGTTGGTTCGAATCCCAACCACGGCACCACCTGCCTGGAGTTTGCATGTTCTCCCTGTGCCTGCGTGGGTTTGCTCCGGGTACTCCCGTTTCCTCTCACACTCCAAAGACATGCTGGTAGGTGAATTGGCTCCTGTCTAAATTGGCCCTAGTACGTGTATGTATGGATGTGAGTTAGGGACCTTAGATTGTATGCCCCTTGAGGGTTAGGGACTGATGTGAATGTACAATATATATGTAAAGTGCTGCGTAAATTGACAGCGCTATATAAGTACCTGAAATAAAATAAAATAATAATATGCAAGTAAAGTACGCTTGTTATACTCACTGTGGATTTTAAGGGGTTATTCCTCTGCGTTGTATAAAAAGGATGTTTTATCCTGTCTTCTCGGATCCTCCCCTTCTTTTGCTGTCCCCACAATCTATCTGCCATAGTTAGAGCAGTGGCAAGTCTGCACATGCTCTGTTTGGTGTATATTGCTAGAGTTTTTTATTTTTGGTAGGGTGCATGTGATTGGCACAGGGCCAATCAGCCAATCCAGACAGAGGGTCAGGGGTTATGAAGCCCCATATGACAGAGGAAAATTAAAACACCTCCTACAAGATTAACTAGTGCTCACCTGGACACTGATAGAAGTCACAAGACTACTACATACTATATACTGTAAGAAAAGGTATTTAGCAGTTTAGATTTACTAAAATAATTGCATTTGCATGTTCTATGCACTGGGTGCAGGGTCCTGGGTTTAGTAACACTTTAAGAGCTGCATCTATGGATTAATGTTATTGCTTCACCTTAGTTACAGTTATGTACAGTATGCTGAATATGCAGTTTTTATACTTTTGCACACAGGGCAGGGTGTTCAAATATACAGTGGGGCAAAAAAGTATTTAGTCAGCCACCAATCGTGCAAGTTCTCCCACTTAAAAAGATGAGAGAGGCCTGTAATTGGCATCATAGGTAGACCTCAACTATGAGAGACAAAATGAGAAAAAAAATCCAGACAATCACATTGGCTGATTTGGAAAGAATTTATTTGCAAAGTATGGTGGAAAATAAGTATTTGGTCACCTACAAACAAGCAAGATTTCTGGCTCTCACAGACCTGTACTTTCTCCTTTAAGAGGCTCCTCTGTCCTGCACTCATTACCTGTATCAATGGCACCTGTTTGAACTTGTTATCAGTATAAAAGACACCTGTCCACAACCTCAAACAGTCACACTCCAAACTCCACTATGGTGAAGACCAAAGAGCTGTCGAAGGACACCAGAAACAAAATTGCAGACCTGCACCAGGCTGGGAAGACTGAATCTGCAATAGGCAAGTAGCTTGATGTGAACAAATCAACTGTGGGAGCAATAATTAGAAAATGGAAGACATACAAGACCACTGATAATCTCCCTCGATCTGGGGCTCCAAGCAAGATCTCACCCCGTAGGGTCAAAATGATCACAAGAACGGTGAGCAAAAATCCCAGGACCACACGGGGTGACCTAGTGAATGACCTGCAGAGAGCTGGGACCAACGTAACAAAGGCTACCATCAGTAACACACCATGCCGCCAGGGACTCAGATCCTGCAGTGCCAGACGTGTCCCCCTGCTTAAGCCAGTACATGTCCGGGCCCATCTGAAGTTTGCTAGAGAGCAATTGGATGATCCAGAAGAGAATTGGGAGAATGTCATATGGTCAGATGAAACCAAAATAGAACTGTTTGGTAGAAACACAACTCGTCGTGTTTGGAGGAGAGAGAATGCTGAGTTGCATCCAAAGAACACCATACCTACTGTGAAGCATGGAGGTGGCAACATCATGCTTTGGGGCTGTTTCTCCACAAAGGGACCAGGACGACTGATCCATGTACAGGACAGAATGAATGGGGCCATGTATCGTGAGATTTTGAGTGCAAACCTCCTTCCATCAGCAAGGGCATTGAAGATGAAACGTGGCTGGGTCTTCCAACATGACAATGATCCGAAACATACCGCCCGGGCAACGAAGGAGTGGCTTCATAAGAAGCACTTCAAGGTCCTGGAGTGGCCTACCCAGTCTCCAGATCTCAACCCCATAGAAAACCTTTGGAGGAAGTTGAAAGTCCGTGTTGCCCAGCGACAGCCCCAAAACATCGCTGCTCTAGAGGAGATCTGCATGAATGAATGGGCCAACATACCAGCAACAGTGTGTGCCAACCTTGTGAAGACTTACAGGAAACGTTTGACCTCTGTCATTGCCAACAAAGGATATATAACAAAGTATTGAGATGAACTTTTGATATTGACCAAATACTTATTTTCCACCATAATTTGCAAATAAATTCTTTCCAAATCAGCCAATGTGATGGTCTGGATTTTTTTTCTCATTTTATCTCTCATAGTTGAGGTCTACCTATGATGCCAATTACAGGCCTCTCTCATCTTTTTAAGTGGGAGAACTTGCACAATTGGTGGCTGACTAAATACTTTTTTGCCCCACTGTAGCTGTAGTTCTTTTTTACCCAAAGTCTTTTTTTTTAATAAAGAAAAAAAAACACATTCCTTTTTCCTGCAGTCTTCTAGTCAGTCCAGTGATGTTGCAGGAGAACCTTATCTTTATCAGCAATGGCAGCCATTCCTTCTGGACTATGCAGTGCTCAAGTAATGTGTGAACACTGCTTAGTCCTGAGTATGGTCAACCAAGTCTGAGTTATAATCACCCCTAAAAAAGGACTGTCAGTGACAGGCTGGACTGACAAGAAATGGGCAGAATTAATTGAGCCTCGTTCTGCCCAAAGAGGTGGCACTAGAGCAAGGAGGAACTGGGGACAGTACTGGAGCATGAAGAGGGGAAGTAAAGTCAAAGACATGCTAGCAGGTTAATTAGATCCTGTCTAAATTGTCCCTAGTATGTGTATGTATGAATGTGAGTTAGGGACCTTAGACTGTACACCCCTTGATGATTAGGGACTGATGTGAATGTACAATATATATGTAAAGCGCTGCGTAAATTGACGGCGCTATACAAGTACCTGAAATAAATAAAGCCTGGGTTCTTTTTAGAGACAGTAAAAATAAATAAATAAAAACTGTAAGATATACCTTAAAAGGGACTGTAAAGTCTCAAGGCTTTTTTTTTTTAACCTTCCATGCCTAGAGGTAAGAAACCTTGTGTGCAGCAGCAGTCCACCCCAATACCTACCTGAGCCCCATCTCAATCCAGCAATGTGCACTAGAGCCTCAGCTGTCCCAGGTCTCTCCCTCCTCCTTGGCTGAGAAAGCCATTAGCTCCCACTGTCAATCACAGCCAGGGAACCAATGAAAAGACAGCAGGGGGGGGGCCTGGGCCGAGATGCGTCTGTGTGTTAAAGGGAAACATGGAGCAGTGGCTTGGGTGCCCCCATAGCAAGTGGTTTGCTGTGGAGGAACTTGGCAGGAGGGAGGGGCCAGGAGCATCGACGGAGAACCAAGAAGTAGGAGCATCCGGTCTGGCCTGTGCAAAACCACTGCACTGCACTGGAGCAGGTGAGTATAACATGTTATTTTTAAAAAATGCCTTTACAATCACTTTAATAAAAGAGAATGTAATTACCTTGTGCAATGTTATCAGAGATCCCTGTGGGGGAAGATTCGCTCATGGAAGTACCAAATGGTACATCTACAGCACTGGATTCATACTGATTTGAATAAACACTGGAAGGAGATTCAGGCACAGGGGCTGAGGATCCATGGAGTGAGGATTGTTTGGTTGCAACATCATGGGAAAAACCTGAGCTATGCACATTTCTGAAAGCAAAAAAAAAAAAAAAAAAAAAAAAAAAAAAAACACAAAATGTAAGGTCAAAATGCAAAACACTTTACAGACTAGGCTGCTACTTGGGGCACCAAACATTTTACCATACAGATTACACCTACTACATGTTATAATAAAATAAACTTGGCACATACCAAGGAAACTCAGAGTAAGCATACAATGGAAAAAAATAGGATATCAAACATACAGTACAGGACTCAGACAAACTTTGCTTTTACAATTAATTTTATTATAGACAGCACAACAAGAAAGAAACAGTGAGAGACAAGCTCATTGACACAAAAAAGTAAGGTGTACAATTCTGTTAGTGAAGGACATAACAAATGCACTGAAATATTAACATGGAGAGAAACGGAGTACAAAAACACAATCTATAAAAGGATGGAATGAAATAAATTGCGTTAACAGCAAACAAGTAGTGACCAATGACTAGCGGGCAAAGGCCAAGGATAGTCACTAAAGTCGCATACAGATGATAGGAAAAGCGGAGCATGAAGTCTCTCTGGACACACATCGGAGCTCTACACCAAAGGACTCTCAAGAAAGTCCGAACGGTGTATAAAACAGGCATGATTCTCTAGGGGCATCACAATCAGCGCATGTACCATAAAAACTGACAAACAAAAGAAAGAAAGGGAAAGAAAAGAGAAAAGCGGAGAAAGGAGAAACAAGAATAGTAAAGACAATAAAACGGGCTCCACGGGATCGCGCCAGGAGAGTCTTATAATGACAGGAGGGTGTGGTCAAATCTACACGGTTGAGCCACTTCAATCCAGGGACGCCAGATCTGCAGAAACTTAAGTGTGGATGTCTAACAGCATAGCCGTTAGCTTCTCATTAACCACTATAAAATTCATCTGATTCTTAACGGCTTCAAAGCTAAGAAAGGGGGTTTTCCAAGCTCTCGCGATCATCAATTTGGTAGCCATAAATAGATGCGATGCTAACTGCCACTCAGGACGGAGTAGGCCTACTAGTGGTTTAAATAATAGTGCCTCATATCGGTTACGCTTAATATCGGTGTGCAGCATAGTGCAGAGAAGGGCATAGACCCTAATCTATAGTCTGCATACCTTGGGGCAAGTCCACCAAATATGGGCCATGGTACCCATTTGTTGACAACCCCAAAAGCAAGTCGGAGAATATGAGGGAATAAAACGAGCCAGTCAGCAGGCGTATAATACCATCTATAGAAAAAGGACCTTATAGGCATTTTCTAGTACAATAACATTTCTTGAGCATTTAGACAATGCTTGAGTCATGATCCGCCAGTCTTGCTGATCTAGACAACCCCCGAGTTCCGAATGCCAATGCGGATAAGAGCAAACCAGGGTTCTCCTATAAGAAATTACAACGGAGATCAAGCCTGGCACATGAGGCCTGTGCCTGCAAAGACTTTCTAAGGGGGTCAGCCTATAGGGGCCCGAATGGGCTTGTAATAATGTAGTAAGAAAGTGACGGAGTTGGAGGTAGCTAAAATGTTCCCTCAACGGGATATCATGAGAAGAACGCAAAGTCTCAAAAGTGAGTATCCGGGTAGGAGAGAGCAAGGAGTGTACATCATTGAAGCCATGGGCTGGCCACCATGCAAACTGCCCAGGATTGTCAAGGCCCGGGGGAAACAATGGGTTGTGGAATAGGTGCATCAAGGGTAAGTGAGCAGATATAAGACCAGCAGAATATTTAATGGTGTCCCAAAGTCAAAGCATATGTGTTAATGTCAGAAAAAAAGATGAAGGGCGATGAACAGGGGGGAGCCACAGCAAAAAAGAAAGTGGCATGGGTGGGAGTCCATCAGATCCACTGTGGCCCACAGGGGAATATTGTGAGACGCATGAAGATGGGCGAGTGGAGCTATATTCGACGCTAAATAGTATGCATGAAGATTCGGAACAGAAAATCCACCTTCGTTCCTATGGGCAAATGAAATTATTTTATTAATTCTAGGGCGTGAGGAGCCCCAGATGAAACACAGAAGCTTCCGTTGATGAATGCATAAGATATGCAAAGGTACAGTGATCGGTAAAACCCGAAACACAATTTTGGGAGATAAGTCATACGGATCGCATTAATTCTACCAAACCACGAAAGCGGAAGATGAGCCCAAGAAGACAACATTTCCGTCAAATCCTTAAAGACAGAGGGGAAATTAGCCTGATACAGTCCTTCGTAAAATGGGGTGATCTTAATCCCCAGGTATGGCAAGACCGAAAACCACTGAAAAGAAAACGATTGTTTCAGTGTTGCCAGCAGCATGTGGGAAAGGGTAATAGACATGGCTTTAGATCTAGCGGGATTGACAGAGGCCTGAAAGAGCAGCAAAGGAGTCCAGAACCGCCAGTAGGTTGGGCAGAGTAACCCCCAGATTAGTAACAGACAGCAATATATCGTCTGCAAACAACTACAGCTTATGCTGGGAACTGGCTATATACAAGCCCCTTAATATCAAGATGCACATGGATAGCTACTGCTAGGGGCTCCAAAGCCAAGATAAATAATATGGGAGAGAGCGGGCAGCCCTGTCTAGTTCCTCTACTAATCGGGAACGTCAAGGACTCAAAACCATAGTATTTAAAGTTTTGCTTGGGGGCACGTATATAGCGACGAAATCCAAGAAGGGACCAAAATGGTGAAAGACCGACATGAGGTAAGGCCAGGATAAGGTGTCGAAGGCCTTATTAACATCTAGGGATAAGAGCATCACTTCAATTTTGCGAGTGTGAGCCTGGTGTTGTAACTATTCGTCTGATGGTGTCCCCTGCTTGCCTATGGGGGACAAAGCCCACCTGGTCTTTTTTGATTAGATGAGAAAGGAAAGAGTTCAAAACGGGTAGCTCAAATTGTGTAAGCATTTTCAAATCGACGGTAATAAGAGAGATTGGTCTACAATTCGCCCAAGAAGAATGGTCCCGATCCGGTTTCGGAATCATAACCAAATTGTCAGTCAGCAAGTCGGGGAAAAGGATGAACCTCCTTTCACCGCATTAAACATGGCTGCGAGGTGAGACACCAGAACATCAGCCAGTTTTTTTATAGTACAAGGCGGTGCGGCCATCAGGTCCTGAATGTTTGCTAGCATTCAAATTAGGCAAACTTTTCATAGACCCTGTGTTAAAGGCTCATACCTTCAGGTAACTGGACACTGGCAAAGTCATCCCCCATAACCCTGCCCCATTCTGTGAGTCCTGTTTGCCACTGTCCTAATGTGGTGACCCATTCACCCTTGTGGAGAAATCACTCTTAGCTTAGAATCAACTCTTCAACCATCCCAAGCATGGTCTTCTTGTTACAAAAAAAAGCAGTGCATCTGGATTGGAGCAATCTTTGCACTTACTGTGCATGTAGCCCTTCACTACTTTCTTCCATCAAATCAACCAAAAACTGCTCAATACAGTCAAATTTACATAAGGCCCTGAACCATCCCATGTCCCAGGGAGTAGTTCTGCCAGTACCCCCTCAAAACAGGTTCAAAGGTTTCTATTCAAACCTGTTCATGGTACCAGAGCCCAATGGGGGTATTCATCCTATTCTGGACTTAAAATCCCTCAATATTTTCAAATTCCCAAATTTTGCATGTAATCTGCAAGGTTGGTTATTGCCATTTTGAAACAGGGGAATACCTGGCATTTGTAGACATCAATATGTCTATCTTCATATCCCCATTTATCCACCTCATCAGTGGTTTCTACACTTTGCAGTAGGAGACAATCAATTCTAATTTGTCAAACTGCCTTTTGGCCTATCCTCTGCTCCCAAATTATTCCTAAAGGTCCTGTCACCTCTTCTCACCCTTTTAAAAATTTGGGCATCCAGGTCACAGTTCATCTAAATAATCATCTCTTAAAAAGGACTCATCTCCCTTTCACCTTTCTGCAAATGTCCACAGGACAATTCAGTCGCTTCATGCCTTTGGCTAGATGTCAAATTTTCAAAAATCTGCCCTCCAACAATCTTTTTCCCATGGAATACTTGGATCTGGTCCTAGACACGTCCTAAGCAAAGGTATTCCTTCCAGAGAAGAAAATTGCCTCTCTCAGATCCCATTACTTGAGAACTGAAGTCAAAGAGACACTTAACAATGACAGTCTCTTTGAGAGTTCTAGGCCTCAAGGTAGCCTTCTTCGAGGCTATATCGCTCGCCCAATTTCATTCAAGATCTCTCCAACATGAGATCTGGGACCTGGTACAAACATGCTTCTTCTCTCAACCTACTGATGCTCCTGTCCAACCAAGCAAGGAATTACCTAACTTGGTGGATCTCCAGTCCAGCCTTATATATAGGGAAGTCTTTCACTGGAAAGTGATAACAGATGTTAAATCGGCCATAGGCAGTTTGAATCTCAGCCGCTTCAGCAGGAACCAGTCGAGATTAGATCCATGTAGGGGCAGGCTGAATGTACCCAAGTGATCGATCAGCTGGTATAGCCGCCAGCAATAATCACGGTCCTCTCCTGGTAAGTGTGTGTGTGTGGGGGGGGGGGGGCAGGGGGAGAAACTGCTGGGAGAACACAGTGCCTTGGCGGGAGGGATTCCCCGTCAACACTATCTGTTGGTTGCAGAAAAATAAATTTGCTCGGTGTATGGCCTGCCCTAGGCATTCAGGAGATGGAGGAGTGTTCCAGTTCCTCATGGTCCAGGGAATATGGTCACCTGTGGAAGCCAACCTCCCCATTAACATCTTGGAGCTCAGAACAATAAGGATGGCTCTACAATACTGCACCCTTCTACAGACTCCAGTTGAGAGTGCAGTCAAACAATGCCATGGCTATGACCTACCTCAACCATCAAAGGGGCACCAGGAGTCATGCAGCCTTGCAGAAAGCATACCAGATAATCTCATGGATGGAGACTCACTGTCCAGCCATCTCTGCAGTTCACTTTCCAGGAGTTGATAACTGGAAAAATGTTTACCTCAGCGCTTTAGCACTAGTTTTGGATGCATTGATAATTCCCAGTCTAAGTTCAGGCTAAT